ACATTATTACGCGTTGAATATCCACGCGCTGGATTACTATGCGTTGAATATCCACACGCTGGATTACTGCACGTTAGATATCCACACGCTGGATTACTACGCGTTGGATTCCTACGCTTAGAATTACCACGCGTTGCATTACTACGCGTTGAATATCCATATGCTGGATTACTGCACGTTATATATCCACACGCTGGATTACTACGCGTTAGATTACCACGCGTTAGATTTCTACGCTTAGAATTACCACGCGTTGTATTTCTACGCGTTGGATTACCACGCGTTGGATAACTATGCGTTATCCGAAGCTGCCGCTCTCTTGCCTGCGCATGTGTAATCCTCGCGCTCTGATTGGTCCGTGTTTTTGCTTAACCCTTAATGGTCGTAAGTTACCTCTCACGTGACAACAGTACTTTGTCGCTGCGGTCGCACGTCACGTGGGAGGTGACAACGAGCGAACCAGTCAAAATTCGCGTTTTATGAAATGCGGGCACGATTAACTTGTGAGTTAAGCATCAGTAACGGAGCAATTGACATCTTCACTGACATATCACTGCCTTTTGTACTCAAATTTCAAAATATTGAGCCCAAAAATGAATAAAGAAAATTGTAGAAATTTCGATACTGATGATAGCAGTGAAAATTTCGAAAGCAGTTCTGAAAGTGATGTTCATTCTAGTGATGAGACTAGCAGTCCGATCATATTGCATCATAAGAAAAGAAAAGTTATGCCCATAAAATATTCAAGTGACGAAGAACATGATGTAAAAATAGATTTCGTAAATTTACCGAAACCAGCTACTACCTAGTGAGAATCACGTATGAAAAGCTAGCGACCGATAAGGGTTAATAATGCATTCCAGAGACCACGATCGGTCGAAGAGTCTAGGATCACTGATTACTGTAGTCTACTCATTGGCGCCTGAGGAGATCGACTGCCCCTGGCCATCGAATTACCACTACAAATTTTCAAGGACCTACACTAATTGTGAGGCACCCTGTAAGTCGCTGTTATGTATTATGTGTTTCAACCCTTTCCACTCATATGTCTCCATGGAGTCACAAAAACTTTAAGATCAAGCATTGTCTATGTATTGTGATTCTTTTTTATTATAGCTATTTATTATATTATACAAGCTATCTCCAAAGTCCGATCCCACCCTTATATTTCGGAAGCGGTTCTAAATATGAAAAAATGTTTCAGACAAGAGTTGTACAGTTACATGCAATAAAAAGATCATACTGTTATAAAACGTTGAATTCTTTTTGACTGCAGCTATCACGCTATAATGATAATAATATACTCATTTAAGAAAAACTCTAATGACCTTGAAATAAACGTGAAAAGTGATCTGAACAAAAATTTTTTAACCATCATATCTGTCTCTTCGAAAATAATATTTTTCGCTTACAATATTCCCTATCTTAAAAAATAATCACGATATTCAAGTTACTTAGGTGAGACACCTTACGTACCGCATACGAATTACTGTTTATATTATATGTTACTTGGTATGTTCCGAAAACAGATTCGTCTTTTCCTTGACATTTGAACGAATTTTCTGCAGCGTTGTGGCACTATTCGAAGAAGGAATTTTAACAATTCCACCTGGTCTCCAAACTGGTTGTTGATTCGCGGATCCATGATTCTTGTTTTTGGTGGATTCTTTCTTGGTTTTTGATTTATCGGTCGTTTTTTTCTCGTTAATCCGGAGATCGTTCTGAATCTTTTCCTTTTCTCGATTTACAACATTGAGGAGTTTCACGGAATTTTTCGATTTGGTTTGATGCAAATTTGAAGCGACAGATATTTGTGTCTCGACTGCACTTTCTTTTTTGAATAGATTCAATTTTGCAGATTTCACTCGATCATTTTTGTGCTTCGATCTGAAATATTATATGTTACTGTTTGCTGATTGATGCTTGAAAACAATTCATGGAAAAAAAGGAAAAATAAAAAATGAATTTATAAAATATAAAATATAAAATACAAAACATGAAACAGAAAATATGAAATACAGAACATGAACTACAAAATATGTACCACGAAATATGAACCACAAAATTTGAGATACAAAACATGAAACACAGAATATGAAATAGAAAATATGAAACAGAAGATATGAAATACAAAATATGCAGCACAAGATATAAAATAATCGTTGTAAAATGTGAAATTGAAAACTCTGCGTATATTATAAATCTTATAATTGTTAGTCTATTTATTATACAGTGTATAATAAAGTTTATTCACAAAAGCAATATAATATTGACTGAACTATGCCATGCTAATAATAATGATTTTTTTTAAAGGAGAAATGTTTGAAGATCTTAAAATCGGTTCTGCTTACTCTTTACATGTATATTTTGCTTTATGTAAATTGACTTTTCGAAAACATTTGTGTGAAAGAATATTAGATTTCAAGACGAAAAAAGCAAACCAAAAAGTATTTCAAATTTGTGTATAAAATATATTATTTTCAATTTGAAAATTTTCATGAATTGTTGACTTGTTTGATATTTTTCGTTTATAATTTAAAATAATATAATAAAAAAATTATTAAGTAATTTATAGAAATTTTAAAATCATTGTAGTATATATTATGTATTTTATATATTTTACTTAAAAATTATATATATGTACATTATATATGTACTATTGTAGTTTACTTAAAAATTATGTATATATTATGCATATGTATTAAATTATAGTAAAATATATAGTACATATATAATGTATATCATATATGTAATAATGATCTATATATAACAGAACATCTCGTTTTAAAAAGGGTTTTAAATAAATAATGTTTCGTCCGTTTCATCGTAAAACGCAAAATAGAATTATAAAAAATTACTTTAAATCGTGAACAATAAAATTGTTTGTGGTATGACGAGGCACAGTTTTATATTTTCGTGGATCTTTAACGTTTTCTTTTTCCTCATTTTTGTCCATCACGTGCTTCACCAAAACCGATATCGTTCCGATTAAATGCACTATTTCCGGTTGCCAGTAATTCCAAGACGAATTAATTTCCTTTAAGATATTCCTCTAAATCAATTGCAAACAATATTTTATTATTTAATTAAAATTTCAAAATTACTTATTGTATTTTACTACTTACTTTGTCATTCAAATTTTGCCCATGAAACTGCATTTGTAGTTCTATAAAAATATCATGCTCCTTATATTGATAAAACTTTATGAAAATGTTTTTAAAAAACTATTTAGACTCTGTAGATATATTACTGAGCAAATTCATTTCTTTCATATATACAAAAATTTTATTTCTTATCTTCACAAAAGTGGATAATCGTAAACATGTAGCACGCACATTTGAAAATACAGGTAGCCCTCCTACAACATGGCATCTTATAACACGGTTTCGCTATAACACGATTCATAAATTGCGGAAACCCTCCGACAACACGGCATCCTACAACACGGTTTCGCTCTAACACAATAAGAAAATTGCAAAAACCTTTGTACAACAATGTACTTCTATAGCCGCGGTGAGGCTTGCCGCCTAAAAGATATAATATTGCGAAAAGTAGGTATTTCTTTAAAACAAAAGTGTCTCATTTTTCTAAAATAAAAGTGTCTCACGCTGCTGATCGGCTGTTCTGTACGACGCACAGTGGCGAAAAACGGCGAAAACGTGGACAAAACTAATATCTTCGATTTTGAGATAAATTATTTAAATGTTTTTCGATAAAATGATTACATTAGTGTTACAAATTAGAGGTGAGGATTCCGAAAGTTTATTTATGACCGGTCCGTTAGGCAGTCGTTTTTTGAGTTAAAATATTTCGGGTTTTTCCAGTTATTAATTTTACTACATGGCTTGGCATTTTAGAGTTAATTTTCGCTTCATCCTCAACAGCCACTTTTCGAACATAAACGGTTTTTTCCGAAGGGTACTTTAGAAACGATCACGCAAAAATATTTGTTTTTAATAAGTCTTTAGAACGTAACCCCCCTTTTTGTACTGACCCTGGGTCTCATACAACACGGTTTCACACAACACGGCATTTTCTAGGAACCTATCTATCGTGTTATAGGAGGGTTACCTGTATATGTAAATATGTATATATTTTGAAAGTAATACATTTTCAAAAAAAAATTAAATATCAAAACTTGACGATCAAATATAGATTGAATAAGATGGAACTATTCAAGAATTAAATTGAAAAAATTAAATTATTAATATGTAAATCCATAAAAATTTCTAGAAAAACTAACAAATATGTTTACCTATTTGTCTTTCATTTAAAAATAAGTGTACTAACCTTGACCATTCAAAGCAACTGTATTGTTATGTACAGCTACCATTAATTGCTCCCCATATTTCGACAAGATTTTCGCAATTTCACATTGAGCTTTGGGGCTATTGTTTGACCCGTGAATGTAACTCTTGCACCTAATGTAATTTAACAAACTATTTCACAACAAGAATCGTATAACATTTCTTATTTTAAAATTTTGATTCCAAATATTTTATTTCAATAAAATTGTTTTGTTCTAAAATTATATAAGCTAAAGTGGGGTAAGTGCAGACTGGTTTTATTAAAGTTGGTATTTAAACGTATGTATTTTCAGCCTGCTATGTAAATACTTACTCTCGATATCGAACGCTTTGCACAATTACTACTATTTAATTAATATTAACTAGGATCTTAATTTTCCTTGCACATTTTGATTTTGATAGGAAATTGTTTGAAATGTCAACTACTCTGCACTTTCCCCGAAAATGGGGTATTAACGTAACTTGAAGTTAAATACTTTGAAACTTTATTTCATGTGCAATGAGGCAAGAGCAGAATCATTAACAAATCTGCTATAAAATGCTTTTTACTGCAATATGCAAGTACTCTATACTGCAAACAAGTACTCCTAGCTAAAATATAAAGGGGGATATAGGGAAATAAAACAAGGAAACAAACATACTAAATGGAGAAATTTCGCTCATAGGGTAATAAAAATAGCCTGTATGCGCACTTGTTCCGTTTACGAACTTACCCCACTTCACCTTACTGAGAAATTGGGGAATTGAGAAATTAACAAATTGGAATATTGAGAAATTGAGAAAATGAGAAAATGAGAAAATGAGAAAATGAGAAAATGAGAAATTGAGAAATTGAGAAATTGAGAAATTGAGAAATTGAGAAATTGAGAAATTGAGAAATTGAGAAATTGAGAAATTGAGAAATTGAGAAATTGAGAAATTGAGAAATTGAGAAATTGAGAAATTGAAAAATTTAAATTACTAATTTTCTTTCCATACCTCGCCACAGTTTTATCCAACAATTGCAACGGCATCGTATAATCATTCGAACTCGCAGAAAATTTTCCTTGCAATTTCACTTCAATATCTTTTATTCGTTTCAAATCATAAGTTAATTGTTCATGAATGCTCGTTAACATTTGACATATATCCATGTGCTCGCAATAACTAATTTGCTTCATTTTCTGCGTAATTTCATCCTTACAATCTGTAACCTCAGTTTTCGCGATTTCATGTTGAGAATCTTGTATCTGTTTTTTATCATGAATCATCGACGAGACGTTTTTAGTGGATAAATTGCTTTTCACATCATCGCATACATCTCTTTCAAAATTTTCCTCCTTGTTTTCCCGTTTCTCAATCACTACCTTAATCTTATTTTCCTTCAATGAGTTTACACTCGATTTTTCTTCCTTTGGGATTATTGTTATATTTTCGACCGATGATAAATCTTCGGAACCTTCAGAAATCAGAGACGACTTAGAAAGTTCGCTTTCATTCGATTTCATATCAGTTTCCTCCGTTTTGCACACTGTCTTGATGAAAGTAGAATTTAAACAGATATTCTGATTTTCTTTTGCTCTTGTTAAAAGAGTATCCTCGAATATCGAAAAGTTCATATTTCCTCCATCACATTTTTGAGAATTACTGCAATTTTCTGCCAAATTTTTCGGTGAATTTGCAAAGTTCTCATCTTTCAAGCAACGTAAATCATCAGCTGAATTCAGAGCAGTATTTTCTGTGGTACATTTTCGTTCGTTCGATCTAACGTTCTTTTCATCCGATAAATCTTTCAAAGACACCTCATCGATAACAGAAGAATTATTTTGTGTACACCATTTATTACAACTATTTTCTTGTACATCTAATTCAATTTTTCCGTCCACTTTTCCTTTAAATACTCCACTTGTTTCAGAATCGTTCACTTCATTTTTAATCTCCCTCAAATCACGCGGACTTTTCTCAAATTTACAATCAACACTGTTCTGTCGATCTCGAGTGGGTTCTACAAACCTATTCTCATTTAACGAAACAGGTTTTGTGTGTTTTACATTGTGAATAGTAGTTTTAGCGCTCGTCCCAGAAATCGATGCGTCATCCTCTTTTGCAGAAGTTCTCATACAAAGTTTTTTGTCTAAGTCCACATCCTTTTTGCTGAAATAAATTTCGATTACTTCGGGGTCTTCAATGGTTCGATTATGCATTCTTGCTTCTCTAACAGGCACGTTCTTCATTTTATCGTCAGATACACATTTTTCTTCCTTATTCCTTAATTTGTCCTTCATTTTACTACATTCTTCGGGAACTTCAATTCCTTCGCATAACGTTGCTTCTTTCTGTGCATTAGTGTCCGTGTTTGAAAGTTTACTCGTTAATTCGTTCTCGTTTAAAATTGTTTTTGAATACACTTTTAGAACAGTGGTGTTTTCTGAAATATTCTCTCCTCGAAGACGAGAGACGCTTCTAGATCTCATCTGAAGATGTACTTCTTCTATTTCGTTCTCCAGATGATTTTGATTCGTCGAGGCACTGATATCTTCTGACGAGTTTTCGAAAATATTTTGATTTTTGTGCGCTTTCAAATGAAATCCATTCGCTGTTAGAAGTTCTTCAATGTCTGATTCAAAGGTTTCTTTGTTGGGATTAATTTTGGTGATGGAAGACGTCCATATTGCGTTCATTGTACATACGATGTGAAATTAAATAGAATATTTAAGAATATTTTATGTGGAGAACATGATTTTAAAGATAAGAGGTTAATGGAAATTTTTGAGTATCAATGTCAACGTTTGTATATTTTCAAATGTTTTTATTGCTGATTTTAAGATGATGAACAATTGCGCATTGGATGATGGATTTGTATATGGCGCCGCCGATGCTGGCGCCATCTTCCGAAAGAAGAAGGAAGCAAGAGCTACGTACATAATTTGCTCGCGCTAGAATTCAAAAAAATAATCACCGGAAAAAATTAAAATCTTGTTGATTTGGTTAAATAATTGATAATATCTTTACGTCCTGTTTGTGCTCTGGATTCATATCAAAAGGAAATTTTGATTGATTAATGTTTTATTGATAAACCAGAATTTTATATTTCTCTTTTAAATAATAATAATTATTTTTGCTGAGTGTTTGTGAACGCTTAATTAGAATTCCCCGTGTTTAACGCATATATTCATTCTTCTAATCATATTATTACGCAGAAACATGTCCGTGAGTAACGCTGAGACGTTGTACGCATGTTCGAAAACAAGGCAAAAAAATATTATATGTGTACTCTTACAATGATAGTATTATTAGAAAATAAAGTTTTAAATGAAAATTTTAGGCTTATTAAATATCTTCGACGTTTCAGTTTGACTTTCGTTTATTCAGTACAATCGTATATAAACAACCGTTCGCTTCAATCGCTCAATACAGAATGAATTCTTCGCCGCTATCTGCCTCGAAAAGTGTTCTCTACCCCTCGTCGCGCTATGGCCGGTTATCCTGTTGATAAACATTCCTCACTACTGCCTACCGTCCTTATTCCAACAGTATAGTAAAATCCTTATTAAGGGACTCTTTTTAAGGGATACATAAAAACTAATTATGTCATCATTGTAGGTGCTTCGTCTACTCTTTCTTTCATTACTTTCTTTATAAAAATTTACTGCGCATGTCTATATCTTATGATTTAAAACAGCGCAAGGGTCAACGTTTCCATAAGATAATAGCGTATCCTGCGTAACAAATTTTCAAACAAATCAAATTGATGCATTTTTGAAACATCATATTCTCTTGACGACAAATTCGAAAATTCGAACTTTAAATTCGAAAAATTATCCTGCCACCTCCTCGCATATCATATTCTCCTCATACCAAACTCGATAATCCGCACCTTAAGTTCGAAAATTATACTGACACCTCCTGGCATATCGCAATCTCGTGATACCAAATTCCAAAATTCAGTCCCTGAATCCGAAATTCCTTCATGCCACCTCCTCGCATATCATATTTTCTTGATACAAATTTTCAAAATTGGTCGATAGAATTTTAGAAATTTTTGTTATGAAAATTCCATGAAGCACAAAATATAGCTGCTCATAATGCATGTTCTCCTAGTACATATTTTCAGTATTTTGTTTTTTATTTTTTATTTTTTTAAATTTCAGGCAATTTCTGGGGATCGAAATGACGGGATTTATAAGTAGGTAAGTATGCAAATACATGTTCTTATTCATATTTATTTTCAAACACTTTTGTACATCAAATGACTTGATATATTTTATTAATAGATAAATATATTATTAACACTTAATTCTAGGACGGAATTATCATAATAGTATAATATCGTGAATTGTAGTGTGCGCTGTAGTACAGGATCTTGTAGAAAGCTAATAAAAATCTGTTGAGAGAATAAAGATAATTTAGCAATTAATTTACTTCTAAAAAGTTGAAGTAAACTGTATGTTATGGAAGAAAATGTGATGAGTACATGAATCGGACGATGGCTTTCTTGCGCTCTATTAAGGGAGGAAATACCTTTAGAATCTTAAAAAATTGAAAATTTTTTTTCCATAAAATGTTAGTGTAACATCTTAAGAATATTGTCTCAAAATTTTTAAGTGAAATACGAAGCTCTTTTGAAGTTATGGCCGATTAGCGCCGCGGGTATACACGCGTTCAGCGCGGAGAACTGAAACTTTAAACGCGTTTTTTTCAAAACTACATTTTTATAATTAGTGTGGCTGATAACTCAAAAACTAGTTTATCAATCGCGTTCAAATTTTTTGCACATATCCATGACAATAGTATCTAACATATGAACCTAAATGTATGAAATAAATTGAACATTAAAGTCCTTTTTATTGCAAAATAGTGCAAAAATTTTCAATAAAATTCAAAGTTTTTCTTTAAAAGCGCGCCATTTCTTCAATTTTACATATTTTACACATTTCTGAGGTTCATCTACTAACTGTGAATGTTAGATTCGAAACATTGTCTGCAAACTTGTTTCAGACCAATGGATCTAAGGC